CACTCAATGTATTTCCCATAATTTACCAACTGTTCATGCAATTATACATGCTTTCCACGTAATTTTACCTTGCCCGTGTCAACAAAGATGGAAGGGAAAGGCATATCAAGGGGAAAATGTCTTGCCTGAAAACTGACAATTGGTCGAAATAAAATAAAATCTTAACAGAAAACAAGATGTCAGATAATCGATATAAGCACTGCTCTGAATTGAGTGCCAAACTTCGATCAAGATCTGAAGCCAATAGAACATCTTTTTAGTCCAAACTTATCAAATCAAATACAATGCAAACATGCATAAAAAGCAAAACGTTGCATCCACATTTTGAAAGGAAAATTGTACTAAAAAATATGTATTCTGTATTTGACAAACAGTTCATTTGACAAAACATTTTTTTGTTGAAGTATATAAATTTTGAAAATAATTCACACGAATTTGTTTCAGCTATTAGAACAGAATTATAGAGCTTTTATAATACTATTTAAAAACACACTTCAACAAAAATGATTGCAGTGTTTGAAGATGTAGAATCTCAAGGGGAGCAGTGCTATTGACTTGTCTCTCCACTGCACATCATCTAACTATTTGCATTCTTTGGCACTTCAACATCTTTCCATTGTCATCTGCTATGTCAACTTTGATTAGCTGTATGTATTACATGTATTCCAATCACTATAACTATTTGAGTTGATTTGCAGAAAAAACAGAGCTCGCAGCATGATAGCTATACCTAGAGGTTTTTTTTTTTTTTTTTTTACTTTTCAAATCATACAGAAGTCACATAAGGTTATAATAATATCAGGGGTAAAAATCTCTTTCTCTCGGGGTCTCCCACTTGCAGGGGGAAACTCGTCTCGTCTCTATATCTCGTCCCCTTGAGGTACGGGATCGGGAAAGTCACTTTAACTTTACAGTCAAATAAGACACATACAACGAAATACGTTTCAACTCTCGTCTTAGTCGGTCAATCGGAGCACTCTATAAGACACAGCGCCCTGGGGAAAAGTTCCCAAGACTCTCACAAGGCTGAACCAAGACTCGCCCAAGACTGGACTGCCTCAAGGCTCGCCCCTGGACTCTCTCGGACTCTCGACTCGACTCGACTGCGTCTGTCGTGGAGTATTCGCCAAGACCAACTCAAACTCTCTTTATTCATTTTCAAAACTCTAACCAATTACAAAACAGTAAAAAGACTCTAGGGCGTAACCTTCAATCATAAAGCCAATCATACTAAGTACTGAATACGTTATATCTTTTGATTAATCGTTCACTACATTAATAACTATGAATATCAGAATAGCGACGGTATCTTGTAATTAGTTCCAAACCACTGAGCCAAGTTCCGTCCAAAACTTCAAATAGACCTAAACGATGACAGACGTAACACAGCAATTCAGCTAATAATCAGTTAATTAAGTCGGTCAACAGATACGCGAAAACAAATTCATGACAATAAGGCAGTTCATATTTTCCTCAGTGAATCATTTATTTTTGACAGACACCTGTATAAAATAATTGAACAAAAGCCAGCTAAGATTTTCGGTCTAAATGCAACACGTTGTTTTCTAAGATGAGGCATTTGTATTTATACTAAAATATCTAAATTAATTTGAATAAAGCTGGAAATTAGGCACCAATGTTTTGTAAGATATTTACATTCAGTAGACTGCTTTCCCACTGCTGTTTTAATCCTAAAACTTGTTTGTATTCAAAATTAATTATGACAATGCATATTTATATTGAAACAAACTATGATAAAGAAAATATTGAACGCAAATTTGCACATTTTCCACATAACGTTGCCATCTTTGCACGCAAATTTGTAGACTTTCGATGTAACTTTACCAACTTTTCACGGAACTGTCAAACTCCCCATGCAACTTCGTAGACTCGCCACGTAACTTTCGCAGGCTCGCACGCAATATTGAAGAATTTCCACGTAATTTTGCCAACTTTGTATGCAAATTAACTCTTCACATCACTTTATCAACTTCGCACCCATCTCAGGTTTTCACGTAAATTACAAATTTGCAGACGTTTTACGTAAGTTTGCCTACTTCCCATGTAACTAAAACAACTTTTCATGTAACTTCGAAGGAATTCCACGTCATTTTGCCAACTTTACACGAAACTTTGCAGGCATTAGTTCATCAATTTTTCTCGCAAACTTAAATTATCAACCTTCCATGCAATTTTACACGCTTTCCACGATCACGTGATTACTAGGGATGTGTATCACGGTTAAAGCCTTGCAAAGTTGCCACTACTAAATACAATAAGTAAACAATCTATTCATCAAATTCCTGCAATATATCCATGTTGTTACTTCCTCAGATTTTCATCTTTATTGTAATCATAATTTGTACGTGAAGTCGCTATCATAATACATGTCACATGAAACCTTCTACGCCATTTTACATGCTTTCCACATAAATTTATTAAATTTGCTAGCAACTTTGCGGACATTCCACATAACTTTAGTTACTTTGTACACAAATTTATAGTCTTTTAATGTCATGACTTAACTATCTCTGCACTCGTATTTGCAGACCTTCCACATAACTTTACCATTTTCCACGCAAGATTGCTGGTTCACCACAAAACTTTTACAGCTTTGCACGTTGCAGATATTACACGTAATTTTGCCAAAGTTGCAAGCAACTCTGCAAGCTTTCCACATCACTTTCTCAACTTTGCATGCAACGTAAATTATCAACTTTCTATGCCATTTTCAATGTTTATTAACTTTGTACTCACATGTGCAGACATTCCACGTAGCTTCACCAACTATGCACACAACTTGGCAGGCTTTTTTACACAACTTTTTTCAAATTTGCATGCAACTTCGCAAACTTTCCTAGTAACATTACCAATTTTGAAAAGACGTTTGTAGACTTTCTTTGTTATATTACCAACTTCACACGCAACGTTGCAAGCTTTACAACCTTACAGACTAGTAATGTAACTTTAGCAGACTTTGCACTATATTTTGTAAACTTAACGTTACCGCAAATTTTCATGTAAATTTCCATTTTTTGTACGAAACTTTACAGATATTCCACGTAAGTTTGTAGACTTTTCTTTGCCATCTTTGCACGTATTTTTGCAGACTTTGTACTGGACATAACCAACTTTTTGTAGACAAATTTGTCGACTCTTCACATCACTTAATCAACTTTCCGCAAATCAGACTTTCCACATAAATTATCAACCTTCCGCTATACCTTTTAATGTGCCAGAGTGATTTGGTATCATGTGGCACTGTCGTGTTGGAAATAGGGATGGGAATTGAAGAGGGAAAAGTAGAGCCTTTCACCGGACCCCGGGACAATGAAAACAAAACCTCGACTTTGCTCGGCCTCCATTGCTATTGCCTTTCAGAGAAAGCCACAAGGAATAGTTTTTCTACTTAGCCGACATCGACGCACTCGCATAAATTACACGGAAATACATAGTTTTTATGGAAAAACATCTGAAATACTTGCACATGTTTGATAAGTTTCGTCCTCAATGAATTCCCAGCTGTTTTCATGTCAAACGTAAAAGTAGTGCTGGCCAAAGTGTGAAAATATCATAAAATAACGCCAATCACATGACTGGCATTTTCATTTGGAACTCTGCAATAACGCGTGATATTTTCACTCCTATAACAATAATAATCAGTTGAAAACATTTTCACACATATATGATAAATTGCAATATTGCTGGCTGGGATGCCTTTTCGTTCTTATACATTTCATTTCATGATAGGCAAAGCAATAGCATGAATGTTCCAAGGCGCACTGATTAAAAACAAAATATCACATGTGTTCAGACTATGGAGGCGCTCTATGACACATTGCGCCGTCGGAGTCCCGAGTACGAGAACTAAACACGAGAAGAAATAAAGACGTGCTTTCTCGTCTGACATAACTGACCTGCAAATTGGGCTACTTTGCGGTCCTGTGTTGTTGTCCTGTGGATTATACCGACGACAAATGACTTTCTCTTCAATACGACGTATTCTTGAATAACAACTCGATATCAATGAAATTTTGTCAGCATATTTTGTAGTGGTGCAAGTTAAAATAAAATTACTGAATTTGTGGTGGATTTTGTAGTTTTGTCAATTGACAATGTCACCATGCCCCGTATTATCATTGATCAATGGTCTCAGTTGACGACACTCCGAGTATTTTAATCGGGATATCCCCATGGCAACGGTTACATCCAGATTGGCTATAGGGCGGAATAACCACGACACTCCAGATAGGTAGGTGAAGGTCAATTCGGGACATTTTATTTAATGAATGTGTTACGCGTCACTAATTTATAGTAAATATGGTGTTGTAAGGTGCCATAATTAACCAGTACAATGTTGCCCTCAGGGGAAAACCAAACAAACAAACACTGACCGACTGAACTGCACTAATTACATTGTCAACAATTCCACTTTCTCCCTCCATTCATGGCGGGCAAATATTTATTGTTACCACTCAGCTCCGAACAGATATTTGATCTTCTGACTCACCAGAAGTCAATCTGTTCAGAAATAACCTGTTGTTTTGTTTAGTTTTTTTGTCGCCGGGATATGGAACGGACGAAACGATTTGCCTACTCTTGCAGGGTTACCTGGGCTCATGAGCGATGCGCGTTTTACAGTGATTTTACACATTACTTATTTCACTTTGTGAGAGAAACGAAAATTAAATCTTATGTAAAATGTTCTGCGTCGGTAATATAAATGTCAATAACGTCAAATTATTGTAATTTTGGACAAGTTTAATACACAATAATTAAAAAAATTGGTCAATTAACGCGTAAATTTAGAAAAATCTTGTATTTTATGGCGGTTATCCCTCCCCTCCCCTTGACAGAGTGGACAAGTCTAAACACTGTTGACAAAACAACATGGCGGTTTCTCGTCTGCAGCACCACGGTTAATGGAAATTGGTGCTATTAATCTTCAAAAATCAAAGAAATGACACGCGGATCAGCGAGTCAACATCGAAGGAAGAAAGATGAACGCCACGTTTGCTATGAAAGCTGGTGGGAAACTAGAACCGATCATTCCACGGCGGTCGAAAACTCCGAAATCACACACACCCGACGACGGCGGCGGCGACCGGTGTATGCATAGCCCGCATAGATCGAGAAGACGACGGAGGCCAAAGAATCCGATCACTGTCGATACGTGTAAAGCCAAATCGTCACTGGAAGTCGTACGTCTTGCTTTGAAAGAGTTAGGATGGAGCTGGAAAGAGGTGCGTACTACAAATCAATCGCCAAAGGCATTTATTTCCTCTGATTTCCGGTTTAATTCGTTTGATTTCCACTAATAATCGCAGTTTATATTCTTACGGATACAAATGACAAATGCCGTTTATTTAATCGGTTTATACATTGGCGCCAACAAAAAAAATTAACTTAGCGTGATTAATGTCATTAATATTTTAAAGTGATATGTTGAAAGTGCATTTGATATAGCCTTATAGTTTGAATGATTAAACTATTGATATTAATCAAAATAAATGTTCGTTTAATCAGTGGATTTCCAAAGTAGGGCCCAGTTAGCAACATATCTTCAATTACTGTAACAAATTAATTATTCACTAGTTTTTAATTGCACTATGTTCGTTAGTAAGTGAAATTCGCTAAAAAAAAATCCTGTGAGCATGTAAAATAACAATAGAAATCATTTGTTCTCTGCCAAATTAACTTAAAACCCAGTGAATATGCTAAAATCATCAAAATAATAAAAATGCCAGTGAAAATAAATGGTGTTACAGTATATTATATATGTAACTCTGAATATGTTCGTTGGTTGGACATATCCTTGCTAACTCCAGTAAATACATGTAGCTTTATTTAAGTTCTAGATAACAAAATGGCTTATAGTAATTTACAAAGCCTTTTTCTTAATCATGCCAGACAGATAAAGAATGTAATCAGAAATATTTTCCGGCATAGGAGGGAAAATTTATGCAATTCTGTGCAATACAGTGGAGAATGAGTTTAAGGTTTGTTATTATGCAAATTTTAGGTTACTTGATGAGACTGCATAAATATACATGTGTGGCACAACGAGTACCGCTCTTTAAATACAACATCAGGCCTTCATGAACTGAAATTGCTACATGTCCAAATTCCTCATGGACATTGAAATAGAATTTATTGCTATTTATAAGCAGGAAACCAGAATATGAGGTTTTCACACAAAGACAGCATGAAAAAAACTGACATTTGGCAATGTGGTACATTGTATATTGATTAACATATAATACATCAAACCAGCTTAACTAGGTTTAGAATTTCAGCTCATTCACTTCCAATTGAAAAGTTGAGATATCAAGGAATACCTCCAGAAGAAAGAATTTGTACACTATGTGATCTAGGGGCAGTGAAACTCATGCATTCATGGACTGTGAAAATATTGAA